CATAAGCTGGCCAAACTTGGCCTCCAAAGCAGTCCTCAACTGGTGCTCCAGCGAAGGGCTTTGACAGTGGTCCGGGTTCAGGGTTTAGAGTTTAGGGTTTAGGGTTTAGGTGTTAGGATGTAGACTGAAAGTTTTTCTTACACAGACCATAGCGCCAAATTGAACCAAACGGTATGTTTTTCCATCGCTGTTGGGGTCTGTTGCTGAGATAATTATTGACGACTAAGGAGTTTCTACTAGACTAGGGGATTCGGGGGCTTGAGTGTTTTATAATTACTCGTGTGCTACTTTAACTGACTAGTCTTCAGCTTATTATTTAGTGTTATTCTCCATCGTGTGTAGCAAGGCACTGACTCAGATCTTTCGGGATTGTTGCGATCAAGGCGTCCTCGAGCTTGGCTTTCTGGGCAGCGAGCTTCGGAGGCAGGGCCTTCAAGAGCTGCTCTGTGGATGTGGCCTTGCGGATGATCTTGTAGTCTCCCTTGAAGACATCATCATCGTTGTCCTCCTCCTCGTCCTGCTCGGAGTTGCCCTGGGAAGCCTCGTCGTCGTCGTCCTCGGGCTCCTCCTCTGGCTCTGCCGGACTGCTGAGTGCGTCCGACGGAGGAGTCGGCACATGCGGGCCGTCGTCGTCGTCGTCGTCGTCGTCGTCCTTGGGTGGCCCCTTGTTGGCATCATCATCATCATCTTCATCATCCTGATCGGACTCCTGCTTGGGAAGCAAGAGCTTCGCTTTCTTGTGGGCCCGGGCCTCGTCGGCCTCGTCCTTGATCGCCTTAACTTTCGCTGTGCCCTTGTCCTTGCCGGGCTTCCTCTTCTTGCCAGGCTTTACCGACCCCGGCTTTCCCGACGACCCCGGCTTTCCCAAGCACTGCTTCAGATCTTGGCTGGCTTCCTTCAGGGTGAGCTTGGATTGTTCAGAAACATGAAACACAAAAGGTTCATACAGTATAGAGGCGTCAAAGATACTCTTAGGGTTTATGGTTTAGGGTTCAGGGTTTATTTATGAATGGTTATTAATCTGCAGACAACCGGCCTCACGAAGCTGAGCCAGGACATCCTCGATCTTCTGGCCAAAAGCAGCTCGGCTCTCTTTGCTCTTCCTGCACGACAATTGTTCATTCAGAAGTGTGAGCTTAAGAGCAACTGCAGAATTGAAACTAAACTCGGTACACTTGCTCAGTTAGCTCTGCCTCTGCTTTCGCTTGCACAGCAGTCGCAAAGCCGCACTGCAATCCATCAAGGTCTTGGCCGAGCACAGGGCGACTGCCGATGGAGGGCGATCACAAACTTGGCTGCACAATGGGCGGTTGGTTTACCTACATGTTACGTGGTTGGGTAGGGGGTGCTGACTGCTTCAGAATACACACTGCTTCGGGCACACGATACCAAATTCGCACATCACTAAAAACCGTAACGTTCAAGGGTTTAGTAGGCTTTGGTCTAGATTCGATAAGTTAGGGGTTAGGACCCTAATAATGAGAGTTTGTTTTCTAAAAACAATATTACTAGTATTATTGAACAGATTTAATTCTGATGAATGAATCAGAAGGCATATTCAGTATGCTGTTCATCAATTCAATTGACAGAGGCCCCACTCTTGTACCATTTATTCATCCCAACTCCCAGCCCTTACTTGAAGACTACACAGGGTGTATAATAATCCCGAGAGGCGACAAACCTTTTTATGGCTATCTTTATTTTTTGTATTTATGATTATTATTTATTGTATACACTATCCTGATTTAACCACTACTAAGTCTCGAGGCTGCATATTTACAATAGTCCTAGTCTACTCGCAGCCATAAATGATAGGTTATAAATAAGCACGATGCGAAACAGCATAGGTTTACATAGCAGCATAGCTCTGGGTTGCACCAATAATACGGGACAGATATTAAGTTCGGAGAGGACTTGGGAAGAGGGCGGTTACAAAGACAGGTTTCTATGATCGCCCCACGGCAACTGCTGCTCTATTTCTATGGGCCCTGCTTCCGTGAGTGTCTGCATTCTCCATCACCAAGCCAGCACGGAGCACCTACGAGCGATAGCTTCTCAGGGGCCTCAGTATTTGTCATTGCTAGGAATAATTTCGTGAAGCAGGCCATGGAAACAACAAGGTTTTACCTAGCATCTATATAGCACATTTGCTTAGTTTAGGTGCTTCTTTATGGCCAAACCAGCAGAACCCCGTAATGTACTCCCGAATCGCAAGCCTGCGTTGCCAAGCCTCAGCAATGCTCAGGGCCCAACATTGAAGCAATTTAGCCCCCGAAAAACAAATGGACCCCGACACCCACCCAACTCCTCAATGCCAATCACTTCAAGAACAAATCCCGCGTAAGTAAGTTGTGCTTCATTCAAGGAACGGCTCTGCAGCAGCGATGCCATTCGCTTCTTCCAGACCGTTGCCGCCGTCTTGGCCTCAACAAAGCTCAACGGCGAGTTAGGGCTTAGGGTTTGGGGTTTAGGGTTTACGGTTAGGGTTTAGGGTTTAAGGTTTAAGGTTTATTACTTAGTTCGCCAGTTCAATCACAAGCGGATTCTTCGGCGTGAATGCAAACTTTCGCGGATGAGACATCAATCAGCCTGCAAATCCTAAGCGTGCTGAGCTCGCATTCCTGTCCAGCCTCGAAGAGGGCATTGTTGTGCTCTGACCCCTGCTTGTTCCGCTTCGCCGTAGCAGCACGATCAATGAGCAGCCCTTCCTAGGCATAGCCCAGCGGGACCAAGCATCAGTTCAGAAACACAAAGCCCAGCATGATATTACGTGCGGCAGAAGTCAAAACAACAAATTGAGTAGGGGTGCCAGCTCACCACCGAGCTCGAAAACGTCGGACGGGGCCGCTGCCTCCACCACATTGGACATCACAAAGCCCATCTGGCGACAGCTTAAGTCGTCGAGGCGAACAGCAGCCGGCGGTCGGGCCAAGTCTTTCTTCACAAGGCCAAACAGGGAAGCACAGTCGTCCAGCTCCAGGTCGCTCTTCTCGGCGGAGGAGCTCTCTTCCGTGGGCGAGGAAGTGCCTCGGATAGACATGGATGCAAGCAGCTGCGACACTTAGCAGCCATGATAAAGGGCTAGATGGTGGAGCCGAGGAACTTTTCTTGTTCTTTTTTTTCTTCTTCTTGCCGTCCTTCGGCTCCTTCTTCTTCTTTGTCTCCTTCGGCTTGCTAGCCTTGTCGTCTCCGTCCGGCACCTAAGCTGAATGCACCAAGTAAAGTTTGTCATGTGCCTGAAAAGAATGTGATTCCGAGTCTGATAGAGGAAGTCTAGGTCTTTTGTCGAATCAGATATACTCGTAATATTCGTTAATCACGACTCGCCCCTTGGGCCTGGAGGCTGAGAAGTTTACAGCATAACTCCAAGTAGGGACCCTTTTGCATCCACTAATCTACAGAGTTGCTTGAGATGTACTCACTCCCTGCAATTTCCAAAGCCCCTCATAGAGAAAGACCTTGGATTGCTCTCTATCATTAGTCGTCCAAATAATAACAAGCGACCTGCGAAAACCTCATCCAATGATCTGCGGGCCGTGTTCATTAAGAAGCTCATGGCCGGGTTGGCACCACCGGATCCCGAGGCATCTGGTGCAGCAGAAGCCGCACCCAGCGAACGGCTGGAAACGGTCCTGCGGAGTACAAAAAACTGCTGGGAGCCATTCCGAGACCTTGTATGAAACCTGATCGGTTCGATTACAAGTAAATATACAAAGCCCCTCCTCCGGACTTTCCGGCCATCGAGAGCCACCATGGCGAAGGAGGCCCCAACTGAAATCCACCCAGGACTCAAGTAGACGATAGGACCGATAGGACCCTTTGCACCCCTTGCATTAAAATCCGAAGAGCAACCTTTGCTCTTGCAGTGCAAGCACGAAACTTCGCTCGAGGCATCAGGCGGTCAAGCAAACCGTCACTGGCGATTGCATGGGTCTCTTCATGTGCGGGTGTGTGGTGTAAAACATTTATATACCCGTGTATGTGCATATGTGTGTGTATACATATACATGGGTATTTATGTCTGTGTGCGGCTGTAAGTGCCTGCGTGTGAGTGTGTGTGGGTGTGGGAGAGCTAGTGACTCAGTGAGTCTGTGTGCGTGTGTGTGTGTGTGTTGGCATGTTTATGTGCATGCGTGTGTACACGTGTGTCTGGAAGTGATGGGCAGCATGAAAGTCTATATTAAATAGAAATACACATATACATCTCAAGGTGTGTTTGCAACGGTCTGTCTGTGTGATGGTATGATTGGTATTATGTGTGCCGCAACACGACAGAACACCTCCTGCAGCTGGGATGCGGGACACAGCAACGAATCAAATCGTTTTCCAGTGGGCACTTCGGGTGCCGGGATGCCAAGCTTCATAAGTGAGACGGTGCCGGGACCCGGAGAAGATCCAATTATTATTTGTATTATGATGCACCAAGATCCCAAGCCCAAACACAAACACATAAATTCTTTGGTAGCCAAGTGTCCCCAAGAAACCCTTAGCTAGTCTACAAATCAAACCCCCTCCGAGGGACCCACAAATACTGAAACTCCTCAGCTTTGCCACCACGGCACCATCGATCGCTCCAGCATAAATAACCCCAATCATCCATCAAAATTGAAAAGCCATGGGGCAGCAATAATATAATCTTGCTGTCCTCGCACATGAAGCCACCACATCCTGAGATAGTCTGGGATCAGCATCTGGATCCGTGCTGGGGTCTACCTTTTCTAGGTAATGCGGCAGCCAAGAATCGGAGGAATATCATCCAAGGGTTTCCCAAGCGGTGGGTGCCTATGCAAACACACTTCGATTGACATCAAAGAAACATTCTTCCAAGGCAACAGCGAGTTGTCCCACCCCCTCCCCCCACACTCAAATAAGTTAATTCCCTAGAACCCAGGCCCAACCCTGTAGCCAGGAAGGCTGGCCCATCCAATCATTCTGCTGGAGTCAAGGAATGCAGCAAAGCCACTGGTCCTGCAGGAGTAGCCGCCGAAGATGGCACAGGGCGTGTGACGAAGTAGTCGGCTTCCTGCAGAAGACGAGAGTAGACTAGAAATTGAATACAGTAAATTACCCAGGAGTCACCAATCTCCGAAACGACATTAGATCGCGGCCTCGAACAAAAGATCATGCGTGACACGTCGCTTTTTGAGGCCGATGGCCGGTTCCGGGATGGGACCAAACCATTGGTCCAAGTCCTCAGGCTGAAGAAACGAACCTCGCTTGCTACACACTCTTCCTCGCTTTTGTTGTTTAGCCGGGCGGCTTGATCCACCAGGTTTCTGGCCAGGTCATCGAGGATAAGTGGCCAGTTGGCTGAGGCCAGATCGGTCCGCCGATGCCGTAGCATGACGATGTCCAGGACCTCAATTGTGATTGGGGTAGAACGAATGTAGGTTCCGAATTCTTGAATCTCATGCAATCAAGCGGCTGCGAAATGGAAAGTTCCAGATTCCTCCCCACTCGGTGTCGCGGGCATCCGCTCGAAGTCGCTCGGTGGCCTCATCATTCTGAACCTGAGTCAGAGAAAATGAAAATGCGACCTGATTGTGAATGGGTCCTGAAACTGTCTTTCTTACATTGACAGGGAGCATAGGCCGCATACGTCCAGCCATATACTTGATGCATTTTAAAATCAAGTAGTCCGTGCCCAAGAGGATCGTAGGGTTGGCCAGGTAGGCACCAAATGATCCCATAGTACAGGCGACGACCATCACATTGTCCTGAACGACACTGTTTTGATTTTAATGAGACCCATCCCAAGCAAATCAAGACCAGTCCTCCAGCCGAAGGCTCGCAAACCGCTGCTGGTAACGGTGTGGAATCTGTACCACACACCGAACTCTGATCTCAGCACACAGCTGCATCAAAATCCGAATGAAGTCCTGAGTTCACTAAGTGGCTCATTCCCTTTATTAATTAATGCTTCATTCCTCCATCAAGCAGACCAGTCTCGACCACCATACTCACCCGATCATCTTTGACATCTTGGCACGGCCTGCAAAGCAAGAGAAGGCGATGTGCCACATAGACCAACATGACCGACAACGACAGCAACATTGCATCGAGGCACGGGAAAATGTAGAGCAGGCCACCCACATAGACCCGTGAGCACATTTGCATGCCTCGTGGAAGCTTTCTTTGGTCCAATTATTTAGATGTACAATGGACAACAGGCTGCAAGCGAGAGGCACAACTCCTGGCCATCGAGGAGCTTCGAAGTCCCCAACAAGGCCGATGGCAGGCCTTCCTGAGAGGACACATTATTATTCAATCACTCACAATCAGAAGCTTGATTCATAGATGCACAACGACTGAATGAAGCCAAAGTTCTCTGGTAAAGGCTTCGTTCAAAAGAGCGGACCCGATCACCAGTGTCTGCAAGAACCGTTGCTGACGGTAAACCACGGAAGACAGCACGTGGTATCCGTCATCCAGCACCCACTCACAGCTGCGGCCAATCAGTTCGCGCAATGCACCCACCATTGTATGTAATGAATACAACTCTTCTTCGATGTTTGGTTTTGGTGCATGTGTTAGCTCTAGATTCACCACAGCTGGCCATGTAGCTGTGACCATCACAGAAATTACAACTGCTTTAAGGAGCCATTCGGAGTTTCGCCTTGTAAAAGCTTATAATGGGACATGCGTTGCTTAGTCTTTGAGACATGAAACAGAAGATCGAGCAAGCACCATGAAAGCTTGAAAGCACGGTCCTCTAGCAAGCACGTGAAGCGTACCCTTTGATTTAAAGAGTCCCTAGGCCCTAAACCCTAAACCCTAAAAGGAGCATGAGGTGTCACTTTAAGGCGTCCCTATGCCCTGAACCTTAAACCCTACAAGGAGTTTCAGGTGTCCCTTTAAAGAGTCCCTACACCCTTAGCCCTAAAGGGAATTTGAGGTGTCATTTTGAAGAGTCCCCAAATCCCAAACCCTAAAAGGAGTCTGAGGTGTGACTTTAAATGCAGAGTCCCTAAACCCTAAACCTTCAAAAAAAGGGGGTTAGGGTTCAGGGTTAGGGTGAGACTTTAAAGAGTCGCTGCTTAGGTTTTCGTGTTAATGGGGCCTTTGGGCGTTTTGGAGTTGAGGTTCCTTTACCCTTAGGGTCCCAAGGACCCAATAATCAGGTACTTTGGTTACGGAGGGTAGTTATGTAGGTTACTTAAAGGATCATGGGACTTAGTAAGTAGGGTTATAACTAAGGTGACTATACTTATAACCCCAATGAACGGACTTATAACTTATAACCTTACTTACTAAGTCCCATGATCCTCCAAGTAAGCGTTGGGAGAGTGTTTAGGTACTTGGACCCTTAGGGTTAAGTAAGGGAACCGTCAAGGCTTCCTGGAATGCGGGTGACGTTTAAAGGCTCCTGTAAGGGGTTCTTGCAAGAGGGTACAGCGGCTGAAAACCCCAGCCCCCAAAAAACTACAGCGAATCCCAGAAAGTTGGAACATGGGTTTAGGAGGATTAGTGCTAGGATCCCTGATAGTTTACCCTAAGGGCATGAGGATATTAATGTTCCAACTTTCTGGCTTCTAATGTAACCTTGTAAGCTATGGTAGGATTATGTGATTTCAGAAGGTTATAGGTTATATACCAGGCCTCCAAGCCCTATAAACCGCACGATATACACAGTATTCCAAGGGCCTTACCAACTAGAATAGGGCTCACTTACAGGCTTCATCCAGGGGAAATGTGCTTGTTGGGGTTGAATGTCGGGGCCTTCATTTCGAGTCGGGATACGGCGTACCTTCTACCCGAAGGCTCCTGGACCCTTGCAGTGAGATCCCAAACCCTAGCCCCAAAAACCAAAGCCCTCCCCCAGAAAGCCCAAGACCCTCATAGGAGCCTTAAACCCTAAACCCTAAACCCTAAAACTCTAAAACCCTAAACTCCCTAAACCCTAAACCCTAAAACCCTAAACCCTAAACCCTAAACCCTAAAACCCTAAACCCTAAACACTAAAGCCCTAAAACCCTAGGACCTAGGAGCCTCAAGGTAGAGACTGAGAGGATTCAGATCTCAGTTTGTGACATCCTCTCTTCGTCTCAAGTTTTGCAAACCCCATACCCTTACCCTCCAAGGACTCATATTTTAAGGCTTTTGGGGCCAAAGACCTCATTACATGAGGCTTTTGGGCTATTTTGATGCCAAGGGATAGAGAAGAGTTCGCAAACATGCCCGCTACCTAAGAAGTAAGTAACCCATACTATGAAGTAATCATTGACGTTGGATTGAGGGTTTCGGGGCGAGGACCAAACCTACATGGTCCTGCTCCTTGCACTGAAGCAGGACTTCTGGCAACCCGGGGTATGTTCTGGTAGAACTAGAATGAGAAACCCGCAGGGATCATAATATTGGTAAATTAGCTTGGAAATTTCAGCCCTTATCATCTACAGAAGTCTTATAGCATGTGTTCAAGCCCTGACGACCCTACGTACTAAGGGTCCACGTAACCAAATCGTGATACTTTGGCCCCAAAGTACCCAAATAGGGACTACTTTCAGGCCAACGTATATATATATATATATATACTAAACCCTAAACCCAAAACCCCAAAACCCTAAACACTAAACCCTAAACCCTGCTATTTAGGCGCACGGACCCTTAGTGTCATAGGACCATCTGAATCAGGAACCGTAGGGGGCTAAGGGGGAGAGGAGCGACCCTACTTCCGTAAATTGGCTTCAGTATAGCTGCATCCGGTCCTTATTTAGGGGTTTTCTGTTTAGGGTTTAGGTTTTAGGGTTTACGGTTGTGTTGGGTTTTTGTTTAGGGTTTAGGCTGTAGGGTGGGGGATATACGTTGCTCTACCTCCTCCTCGTTACCCCGTAACAAAATCACCTGATGTAGGGGCCTTAATGATTAGAATAAGGTTTTGGTGGCCATTATACGATAATCATAATAAGGAACCCCCGAAATGATAACGGTACGTATTTAGGCTTCTATATTAAAGGCTCCCTTCACCGCTAAGGGTCTCTTAAAGGGAGCGCTTGGGTATCCCCGAAGGGCTCCTTTGGAAACACATCCCTAGACCCTAAACCCTAAACTTATCCCCTAAACCCCTTAACCCCTAAACCCTAACCCCGTTCCTTTGGAAGCGCATCGTTCCTTGGCGTCCCTGCGACAGCTCTTCGGGAGGCAACTCGTCCTCCGGATCTGGAAGCTCCTGTCTTCTCAGGTTCAAGGCAAGGCTTTAGGGTTTAGGGCTTAGGCTTTGGAGGGTTTAGGGGCTAGGGCTTAGAGGGTTAAGGGTCTAGGGCTTAAGGTTTATTGTTTAGAGGGTGAGAGGGTTTAGGGTTTTGAGGATTTCGGCATCTGGGCTTTTGGGCTTTCTGCTTCCCAAGAACGTCTCACCTCGGTGACCTCGACAGCAGCCGGAGTATTGATCCCAATCATGTGTGCAATGAGTAGAGGGTTTATGGTTTAGGGTTGAGGGCTATTCGTCTAGGAAATGTAGCGCAATGATGAGCTTCAACTGCTTGTTTCCACTTGGAACATACCCACACGATAGTTCCGGATGTGATCCACAAACTCTTAAACACGCCTAACCCCTCAATTTAAGCCCTAAGCCCCTAAGCCCCTAAACCCCAAACCCCAAACCCCTAAACCCTAAACCCTAAACCCTAAACCCTAAACCCCAAACCCTAAACCCTAAACCCTAGGCCCTAAATAAACCCTAAACCCTAAACCCTAAACCCCAAACCCTTTTGACCCTCGCCTCCAGCCCCGGACGGTGCCAGAACCGTTCGAAGTGGCAGAGCCGAGCACGGCATGCCGCGGTGGCGAGAGCCTCTGCTGTTTTAGGTTTAGGGTTTAGGGGTTTAGGGTTTGGGGTTTGGGGGTTTAGGGGTTTAGGGGTTTAGGGTTTAGGGGTTTGGGTTTAGGGTTCTTGGATGGGTGGGGTGGACCCTTAACCCTAAACACTAAAAGCCCTAAACCCTAAATATATGGGTTAGGGTTGCGTTGCCGGTTCGTCTCGAAGTGTGGGAGATTTTGCTCGAAGCTCAAAACCCTCGGGACAGCCTGCAATGGATACATGCGCAAACCCCTAAACCCTAAACCCTAAACCCCTACTGCTAATCATCTAAATCCTGCATTACCTTAAGGGCCCTAAACTAGGGACTTCTGGTATATTCCTTCTTATTAAAGGAAACTACAGGTGGGGAGCTTTGGGTAGGGCTTCTATAAGCCTCTAAGAGGTATATAGACCTTCTATAAGGCTCCCATCACGGTAACTACCCACCTGAAACTGTCCTAGATCTTATAGGTATAATGCAGGATTTATATCATCAACCGTATCGCTCCATGCATGGGTAGTAACTGACATGGAGCCTGAAAAGGGTCCATGACAGAGAGCCCAATATCATATAAGGGCCTTGATACTTAGAATAGGTTGTGGGGGGGGTTCCTCTGAAGTGTTCCTGAAAGGGTTAAGGGCTACTATAAGGGTATAGGGGCCTTGCTAACTAGAATAGGGTTTTGGGACCCATGATACTATAATGATCATAAAGGACCCCCGCAGAATACTATAGGTACTTATTTTGGCTCCTACATTACCTTAGACATCCGGAGACCCCAATCTTAAGAACCGCTGTATCTGAAGGAATGGCTCAACTAAGGGTACTTGAAGGATCATGGGACTTAGTAAGTAGGGTTATAATTAAGGTAACGGTACTTATATTTACTTATAACCCTAATTAGGGGGACT